CCAAACTGGACTCCAGAAAATACCACAACACTTCCGTCTTCCACAAACCCCTCCCTGAGTACAGTGACGCCCGCACCACCCTCACTGTGCCACCAGGAATGCCTGGCCGCCCTCAATGCGATCCGTCTCCATCCTCACACCAGCCTCACACTGAGACAAGGGTCAGAGCTGACATTGCGGTGTGAAGTCCCACTGGCTCCTCCAGTCGTTATGGAAAGTGTAGTGTGGCTCTACCAGTCGGATGACATTGGCAAGGGGCAGTGTGCCCTCACTCCAAAGGATTTCATTCCACCATGCCAGGGCTTCCAGACCATCTCACACATCAATGACATAAATGCCACCTTAATCAAGGATACTATTGGAGTGGGCAACCTGCAAGCAAACTACAGTGGCCAATACATGTGTCAGGTTAGTAATTGAAGTTATGCCATAAGTATTTAAAAAAAAAAAAAAAAAAAATTATAATCAAGATCTAATAATATTGTAACAAATTAGTTATAAATACATCATTTCTATGATTTCTGCATCAAAGCTATATCATTAGGGTAGCACAATTAACAATTAAAGTTAATTCTATTCATCACATGTTCTTGTACATTTCAAGTTTTAAGGTACACAATATACAAAAATGATTTCCACTCAATGCTCTCCCAATAATAAACTGTATACTTGCAATACCTGTAGCAATCAGTTTTACAAAATCCATATCTATTTACCGAATCAGCTTTGAAACATTCATGTATCATGTAAATCTTGTAAATACCAATATCTTATATTTTAACATAAGTATATTGCATTACCTAAACTTTGCAATTTTTTTTACTAGATCAACCTCTTCTCATATTGCTAAAACAGTTTACTGTGTTATAATAAAACCAAAGTCCCATAATGATTAAAGTAAAAGTAAAGTTTTTATGTAAAAGGTCCAGATTACGGTGCTGTGATTAATCCATTCACAGGAAGACATTCAGAAACAGCAACCAATACAGGCTCAGAGCTTTCCACAAATTGGACTATTGTACCAAACACTGATTAACTCATGACAACCTTCTCAGCTTCCATCACCAATCACAGTGTGTTCTCTCACAGGTGCAAATAACATGTTGCCCTCGAAGTGAACAGGAGCATGTGATGAACCACGAACTAAGTTCTCGTGTCACTGTGTGGTTGAGAGACTACACAATAGACCTTGCCATCACTGGGTCCCTAGCAGTGGGACTGGTCCTCCTCCTGACTGCTGGCAGCATCTACCTAGCTCGGCAAAACCATGGCGACTATGTGGCTATCACGGACAAAACGCTGGACGTAAAGCCGATGACAGTTCTCCACATCCCTCTTGTAGATGACCAAGACAATGACAGTTTTGACAGTAATTTTGATGAGCAAGAATAAGTCATTAATATGTATATTATATATTTATAGGAATGTATACCTTTTAGCAGTCATTATGTAGTGAAATAAAGTATTAAAATATCTAAGCATGCTCATTCCAACAAAACCTACTTAAAAGCAGATTTAGTAGTAATTTAAGTCTAGAAACTAAAGTCTACATCTACAAGTTAAATAAATACAGGAAGATGATTAATTAGATCAACATCTGATATTTCTACATCAGGCATGAACTAAAAATGTACAATTGAAAACAAAAAGCAAGACAAACATTAATTTTGAAAATGACTATCTACACTGCAAAGGTGAAATGCAATGAGAAATCACAAAACAGGTGACCCAAAAACAGTACTGTACTCACGAGACTTGTCATCCAGGGAGCACCTCAGGCGTTTAATATCACTGCGAGCTGTGTACAGTTTCTTTTCCAGTACTTCAATCAGATTCATGTCAACTTTAGCTCTCATGGATTCAATCTGGTGTCTCTGCTGATCCTTAGTGTGTTTCAAGCTAATTACTTGGTTTTCTGCAGACTGTCTCAATTTCTTCTCATCGTCTAGATCTTTCTCCAAAGTGCTAATCTTTTTCCTGTTATTAAGGGAAGAAAAGTAACAATCAACTTCAGTATTACATCTGCTTGATATAGTAAATATCTACTTTTCTTAAATCGCATAACAATAGTTTCATGAATTAATTATTACAAAAGAGTCAATCGAAATGTATAACATGATAACAATAAAAACAACAACAACAACAACAATAATACTAATACTAATACTAATACTAATAATCAATACACAGTTTAAATTTGATTACATTCAACTGGTGATGCAAAGTTTTCATTGGCCAAGTTCACTGAATTATTCAATTCTGCACTAAGCAGTTTTCCTTGAAAGAAAGGATGAATTAGGTTTACAGGATGAGCTTGTGTTATGAATTGGCCAAATCTCTTTTGCAGTAGTTACTACATCTGTCATTGCATGATGTTGTGATTAATTCTTTCCCTAAGTTCATTGCTTTAGCAGCTGTACATTTATTGCTGTGCCATGTCCAAAGCCACAGCTATTGGTTCTAGTGCAAGTAGATCCTCTGCTGACCACTTCAGTATTACATTAGACACCTCTCTAACTCTGACATCAATCTGCTTCCTATCAACTTCATAAATGTTCATAATAGCTGGCCAGCTCTTTATGTATATCTTCAGACAGTTACACATAGTATTCCATCTAGAGCAAAACAAGACATTGCCCACCTCCCTGGTGTTACCTTGCAAAAGCATAGTGATTGTTTCTAAAGTATTTTACTATATACACCACATGCTCTTTAATTAATATTGCCAATTTCCAGATCATGAACTTTAGTCATTTCCCTGTTCTAACAGTATCCTCATTTTGTTCACATTGGGTGTTATCTATCACAACACTACCAACATGGAAACCAAGTTCGTTAAACTTCTGAATTGTTAATTCTGAGAGCTCTTCTGTATGTTCAACTGTATGAGGCTGTTCACTTGTGTCTATTGTATCCACAAGACATACATGGGAATTTGAGGTTGTCATAGTAACACATACAACATTGTGAGTGCTTATTGTGAATGTTAGTCCATTCATCTCAAGACAGACAGACATACAGTTTCAATCTTCAGCTCTGTGGCACACTTTTCATATTCTTTTTTATATATCATGGGTAGGAGTTTGTCTGCAATTGCTTTTCTTGTTGGAGGAGTGTTTCCTGGCCTCAACTTCCCAACCATTTTACAAAACTGATGATGTTTTACCAATCTAAATGAAGAGTTGGCTGCAAAGGCCATTTAGCGACTGCTTCATCAAGGTTTGCCTTTTCATAAGAGGTTGTTTCAGAACAAATGTGTCCATAGTTGTTGCTTTACATCTTGAAAAACCTGTGGCAGAAGTTAGACACTCTTTCTGTAATGCTAGAATTGCAAGACTTCTTTGAGGCACCTTTGGAGTCAGAATTCTCAGTCTTAAATGAATCATCTAAATCTTCTTCTGATAATTCAGTCTGCAGCTGCTGACATTTTTCTCTGAGATTTCATTCTTGCTACTACTACATGTAACTCAAGGTTTACATATACATAGACAGCTACATTTATACCTAGTCACCAATGAGCCAATAAATCAAAAGAATCTGACTTAAAATTTTAAAATCTGATTAAAAAAAAAAAAAAAACTGGTTACCTCACAGATAACGAGAAAAAGCAGAAATCAAAATATGATTTTGCTGCAAGCCTATCTAAATCTTCAAAGGAATGATATAAAACAAACAAGTATATAAAAGTATAGTAAAAATTAAGATTAAGAAATTACGAAAAAATAATAATAACTAAATAATTTATTTTAACCAACCTTAGTGGCTGGATTTCTAGTAACAAGTTTGCCATCTGTTCCCGAGTAAAGGAAGCTTCACGGGTTCTTTGGTCATAGGCCATCTGCAGCTCCATATTTTGCTGCTTTTCTCTCTCAAAATCTGCCACAATGTGAAGGAGTTTGCTGCCAAAAATCAAACAACATTTATAAGTAAATCTCATGACTGAATGTAGTCAAGGGATGCAATTACTATACACTATATCCATTCATGAAAGCCATCTGACTAAGGAGAAATATCTAACATATAAAAACATACACAAATTACAAGAAAAGATAAGAAAATTTATTTTTTAAAGTATATTAGAAAGGACAACATTTATCAAACATAACACCTCAACCAGTGAATAAAACCAAGCACTTACTCCTGCTGTTCGAGCTTCACGTGGTAAAACTTCACCCACTCCCGGCATGTCTGTAGTCTCTGCATGTAAAGAGAGGACGATTTCAAAGTTAGTATAATGAGAGGACAATGGGAATATTGTTGAGTGCAATTCCAACTCAGCAACATTCGCTCATGACCATACCTTCTGCAATTCCATCTCGGCAACATTCACTCATGACCATACCTTCTGCAATTCCATCTCGGCAACATTCACTCATGACCATACCTTCTGCAATTCCATCTCGGCAACATTCACTCATGACCATACCTTTTGCAATTCCAACTCTGCAACATTCACTCATGACCATACCTTCTGCAATTCCATCTCAGCAACATTCACTCACAACCATACCTTCTGCAATTCCAACTCTGCAACATTCACTCACGACCGTACCTTCCGCAGGATGGGGCAACTGATGCATCCGCCTCCATCACTTCCTCCAAGTTCCGGCTCCAGCTTTAGGCTGCTGAATATCTCGTTGTTATCCGTCATCATGGAAGGTTTTGCTATACCATTTTATGACTGTAAAAGAGAAATAATAACAAAAGGAGTTAATTTCTTCCAACTTGTAATATCTGCAAACTTCTAGATATGAGTAAAAAGATCAATAAACAAAATAAATATAAAAAGAGATAAAAAAAAGAAAACATGAGAACTAAATCTACATTCATTTCCTGACAATTTTCATGGACATATGATCAAGAAAGAAAAAAAGAAAGAAAGAAAGAAAGAAAGAAAGAAAGAAAACTAGAGAGAAAGAAAGAATGAAAGAAAGAAAACTAGAGAGAAAGAAAGAAAGAAAGAAAAAAATATATATATATACATATATACATAAACATAT